TATATATGGACTATTCAGATGTACTTTGTATAGTCTAGATTAACACTAGATTAAATTTGGACTATGCAGAGTATATCTGAATACATAATATATATCAATTATAAAAATTTTAATATTAAATTGGACCCTTCAAATTAAATCTAGACCATATTAAAAATAAAAAATTATTAAAATTATTTTATAATTTTTATTTTAAAAAATATAATTTATAATAATGGTTTAAATTTGGACCATCCAGATAAAGGTCTAGATCTTATCATAGTAATGAGCATCATGGTGCTCCATTACCAAAAAAAAAAACTTTTGGTGGCGACAAAAGTTGGCATCAAAAGTTCAAAAATCGCTGCTAAAAGTTTTTAATAACAATTTTTTGCTGTCAAAGGATCATCACCAAAAATCTGGTCGCTAATAATTTTTGACGACAAACATGTTTGGTTAGAAAACTGAAATTTTGATCTTGAGCTCTTCTGAAGCATAAAGTAAGAAAAGGAGATGAAGTCCATCAGGGTAATTTCTTCATTATAAATTTAAAAACTAAATCAAAATATCTATAGTATAAAAAACCTATTCACATTGCAAATTTAAATTATAATTAATTTCACAAATAGGATCGGGGCGAGGAAGTTATGATACTTGAAAATTTTTTAAGATTTTTAAAATTTTTTAAGATAAAATTTAAAATTTTGAATTAGTTGAGAAGTTATGAACTTATGGTTGAGACCATGAGAGAAAATATTTTGAGATAATGAATATAATATTTTGAAAAAATAATTTTAGAAATTAATGATGAAGTGGATAGCTTAGAATCATAGTATCTTAAAAAAAATGCTTGTTATTCTTATATAACATAGATATATAGATATTTCAAGACTTGTATGAAATTTAAATGAATAAGTCAAATTTTTATATTTTTCTCAAATAAAAATTTTCATTACATTTAAATAATATTGATCTTTTAAGTAGAGAAATAATTTAAATAATTTTATTAAATCTTATTTAACCTCATTAATCTATTTTTTTTAAAGATCATGGTTTGACACTATACCTTTAAAATTTAATCCTTCTTGAATGAATTTTCTTTTCTCAAATAATTATTTGGTAAATTTTAATTAACCTAAAATAATATCATCAAATTTAAATAAATATTTAATAGATTCAATTTACTCAATAAATTAATTTCTGTTACTTAAATTTTATAGTAGAAGTTAGGATGTTACATGTCACTTGTAACCTTGGGCCGTGCCATGCCATCTGCCACAAGTGCATCATCTCATGTCATGTCATAACATGGATCTCATCTGTATGTGAACAATCTAATTAACCTGTAATTATTCTCTACCTCATAATAATAAGGTGGATTTAAATAATGTTTCATATTCTTCTTAACAATAATTTGTTATAAAAAGCTTTTTAGTAAGTTCTTCTTTTGTTTTTTTTAATAACAATGGAAGTCTAAGCACTGGGTAAATTCATGTGACATCCTTGTCCAAAAACCAAAAGCCATCAGAGCTTAGTGGATAAAATAAATGCCATGTGTATAGCAGACCAATCATCAAGTATACGGTATGCCAAGTAGTCCATAATACCATTTGTATCTCTTGAAATTTGTATGTACAACTTTCAACATCTTAATCCCTCTGAATCAAGCTTTGAATATCTATAATTAGGGGTGTTCACGGGACAAGACAGGATCAGCACCCCCATCCCGCGTCTCGTCCCAGAAAAAAGATCAAGACTGAATTTTAGTCTGGTGTCTCTTCCTGTTTTGAAAGTCATCCCATCCTGTTAGAAGTCAGGATGGAATCGAGATAAGATCGAGATATCTCGCCATCCCGATAAATCAAATAATATTGAAAAAAATTTGGATAATAGCGTTCATTAAAATTTTAAATTACATAATTTATTAAGTTTAAAATTAAAACAATACAAGTACATAAATCACAACAATTTAAAGTCAGTTATTGAATTACATTAATCACAACTATACATTATAATAGCAAATACAAGTGATCTTTATGCTATAAGAGTAGCAACAAAAAGTAAGTCAAGCACAACATCAAATTATCATTCTTCTACTTTAGTGGAGATGTATTAAACTAATTAGTTTTCTGAAAATAAAGCAAAAAATACGTTATAAATAAAATTTATTAAATAAATAGATATAAGAATAAATTATATTAAGATATTTAAAATAAAAAATAATGTATATATAATATTCGAGACAGGACAGGACGTCCTGATGGTAATCCTGTGTCTCGTCCCGTCTCGAACCCTTTTCTTGTCCCGTCCCCTAAAGTCACGTCTCGATTATTTTCAGGTCGGGACAAGACCTGTCTCGATATAATCAGGATGATACCAGGTCCATCGAAACGGGTTCAAATTGAACACCCCTATCCATAATAGCACCCTTATTCGAGTAACTTTTTTACAAGATGACCAAAAATTGAATCTAAAATATCAAATTCTAGAATGTTTTTACTGTGATATATTTTTTATTTATCCTTTAAACAATTTTAACTTTAGATATTATAATGGAAGAATTACATTTAAAGACCACTTAAAAAAATTAATCATAGACAAGGACTAATAACAAGTTTTATTAAAAAAAATTACATTAATAATAATTCATTCTGTATTAGTTCTTATTTGCAAATAATTTGTTTAAGTAGTCTGGATGTGATTCTCCCTATTATAATTTATATTTAAGATTTTTTTAATTTATACATTGCTATGTAAGTAAGTATTTGTCTAACCTATTTTTAAATGAAAGTAATTACCCATCAAGATTTAATTAAATTAAAATAAAATACTAGCTTAATAACATCATTCTTAATAATGATGAACTATATATGTCTAAAAGAGAATATGAATAATAAAAAAAATTATTTAATAATTAAAGTTAACACATTTTCATTATTATTCCTTTTATTTTTTGATCCTATATATAATTTAGTTCTCATTATATATATAAAAGAAAAAATTTTAATTTCATAAATATCTTTTGAATGATAATGTTATTTAATTTTAAATTTTTAAAAATAATTTATAAGATATTTTTTAATTATTTAAATGATAACTTTATAAATTATTTGAAATAAATTAAATTTAAATTTATTTTTTAAATTAATTTTAGTGGAAAATTTTATATAAATTAATTTTAATTTTAAAATTATTTTTCATAAAAATATTTTTGACAGTAACAAAATATGGCCACAAAAAGTTATTTTTGAGGCAAAAATTTACTTTCATGGGCAACAATTAAAAATGGCCACCAAAAATCCACCTTTAGTGGTCACAATTAAAAAGTGTTGCAATGAGTAAAAACAGACCTCTGGTAGTGATATTTTTTATCATCACCGAAAGGTTTTTTTTTCTTTTTATAGTTATGGGGCCTTGGGTATTATAATGTAATATATGAATAAGATCTAAATTAATTTATGATTGATAGGATTAATCAACATATACTTTTAAGGTTAAAATGTATAAAATCTTTTTAAACTTTGAGACAATTGTAAATAATTCCCATCACTTTTAAAAGTTTAAAATTAACCTCCTAACATTTAATTTTATTTTGCAAAACCTTCTATTATTAATTATGTTATTTTTTTTATGACGGTTAAAATATCATTCAACTAAAAAATATTATTAAACAAAAATATTATATTGTATAATTATTTAAAATAAATTTTTTATATTTTTTAAATAATTAAGACATTGATAATAGCCAAAACAAATATTATTATCGCCAGAAGTGGATAGGTTTCTAGAAAAAAATATGCTCTCTAATCAAGAGTCTCTGGTTTGAAACAATATGACCTTCCATGTCTCTTTTTCTCCTTTATTTATTTTCTTTTTCTGACTTTCTAAATAAGAAATATATTTTTCTCCAAATTTTTTATACTTTTCTTTTCTTTCTATTTTTTTTTTCATCCAAATATAGAATAGGAGTAATTAACATGACATGACCTTCATGCCTCTTTTTCTCCTTTCGACTATCTAGATGAGAAAATATACTTTACTGTTGATATTTCACACACAATTGTATTCACGACCTTAAGTATTTTTGGTTAACTTACGTATGAAAACAAAAATTTTGAAAATTAAATCAAATACTCCTGCAATTGTAATTTTATATTGTTATTATGATTATTTTTATTATTATTTTAAATTAAATCACAAGTTTCCTCTGGAATTTTTGAGTTCTTATGTGATTATCATGATATCATCACTTCACCAAAGTCGAATCTGATTGTGAAAAGTGGAAACCATGAGCCCATTTGTTTAAGATTGAAAAATATGTATTTTTTAGCTAGTTTAGATATTTTATAGAAAGAAATTTATTTTATAGAGATTTTATAAAAAGAATATATTATTTTATATTTGATTATAATAATAAAAAATAATTATTAGTTAGTTATTTTTAAATTTTATAATATCTTAATTTTGTTTCATAAAAATAATTTATTATTATATTATTTTAAAATTTTATAATATCTACGTGTAGCTCTTCTTTTTAAAATATTTTTTTATTAAATTATTTTTAAAAGTTATTCAAAGTAGTTTTTTAAAATAATCAGCATTATGCTTTTTTTTGGGACTTTAATTATTTTTAAATATTTAAATAAACATAATAAAAAGTTAAAAATAATTTAAAAAAAATTAAGTGATTTTTTAATAAAATAAATTAAAACAAACGGGTCATATAATTCAATCAAATGCTATCATCTTTCGACTTTCTACTCATCTTTGCTTTCACGTTTCTGTTTTAAATTTATTATTTGACTTCACGCCTTCATGGCCAAAAAAATTAATTATCCTTTGATTTTTTAAAAGTAGCATTATGACTTTTGCAATCAACTTCGTGGATGAAATTCTTTTTGCAATAAACTTCGTGGATGATTTAATAAGCCTCATGTATATGTGTATTTTTTTTCACTAGAATTTCGGCTATAAATTTCTGCATGCTGCGAGGTTCAATTACACATGCAAAGTTCGCAAAAATAGAAAAGTAAACAAACAAAAGAAAGGAGGAGGAGGGAGAAGCCATGGCTTCATTGGGTTCTAAAGAGACTTGTCCTAATGAAGAACCAGAAGATTCATATGCCCTTTCGGCCATGCTTCAGTGTTGTAGCCAGATCTATTGTGCAGTTCTTAAAGCTTCGCTTGAGCTCAACGTGTTTGAGATCATAGCTAAGGAAGGAGGAAGACATGTGTCAGCTTTTGAAGTTGCCTCAAAGCTTCCAAGTTCATCTCAGCACAAAGAATTGGCTTTCAGGATAGATCGTCTCTTGAGGCTTCTTGCAAGTCACTCTCTTCTGAATTTTTCAATTGGTGAAAAGGAAGATGGCAGCACTGAGAGACTCTATGCGATTTCTCCGGTGGGAAAGTACTTTGTTGGTGGGGATGATGGAGGATTCTTAACTCTCTTCTCATCATTCATTTGCCATAAGGCACTTATGGATGCTTGGTAACTTTTTTTCCATAAAAAAGATATTTTTTCATGAATTTCATATTAAAGAGTCTCACAAGTGAAATGGGTTTATAAGCATGATAGATTTCTTTCCTAACAGGCTAGTCTTTTGTGATAAACCCTTTAGAGTGTACTCATAATTGGCCTATCATTGAGAGGCCGATACCATGAAGAGGGGGCAATGCTATGAGTCCTATGTTGATGAGCCTTATAAGTAAAGTGGAGAATTTTCCATCCAACAGGCTAGTATTAAAATGAGTTCTCCTTTTATACTTGTGTTCATAATTAGCCTTTCATTAATTAAGTGGTCGATGTCATGGAAAGAGGGCATTGTTATGAGTCTCATCTTAAGAAGCCTTACAAGTGAAGTATGAGGCTTCCACCTAATAAGATAGTCTTTTGAGATGAACTTTTTCTTTTAAATTTGTGCTCCTAACATATTCCCTACAAATTTGGTTTATTATATTTCATTGCAAAGTACGTGATCCACAATCTAGTTATCTCAGAAAAACTAATTTGCTTTGATTGAATACACTTGTTAATTGTTTCTAGGAAAAATACAAGAGTAAGTAAGTCCTTGTACTTTGATTATTTCATTTTATTTCTTGTCCATATAGTTTTCTTTCATTATTCACAAACCCTTCAGTTTGATCTGTATTAAACGTTATAGTCCCTTTGGTTTTAAAAATGCATATAAGATGATGATACTGACCAAGTTAATTTTGTTGGTGTCTTTACTTAACTAATCTCTTTGTTGATATGATAAAAATCTGTTTTGACTCTATCAATGCTGGTTCCTGGTCCTTTATGTATTTTTAAAATTATAGAGAAAATGTTGCAAATGGATCGACTAAATGAACTGAAAATAATAAAAACAAGCTATAAGATTTAATAATAAAATGCAATCAAAATATGAGGACCTACTAATATACTTTTCTTGTTTCTATGTTTTGATGCAGGATGAATTTTAAGGTGGCAATTATAGAGGAAGACAATGACTTATTCAAGAAAGTTCATGGAATGCCAATGTACCAATACGCTGAGAAAGATCCAACATGGAACAATATTTTCAACAAAGCAATGGCCAACCGTTGCAACATAGAAATGAGAAGAATATTGGAAATATACAAAGGATTTGAGGGAATATCAACACTTGTTGATGTTGGTGGTGGAACTGGCCAAAACCTCAAAATGATTGTCTCAAAGTATCCTTCAATTAAGGGAATCAATTTTGATCTGCCCAATGTTATTCAAAACGCAACACCTCATCCAAGTACATCAAGTTCATTATCTCTACTAATACTATGTTTCCACTCCATCTCTCCAATTCTAAATGCAAGAACTAGTTAACTAATTTACATATATTCATGAATTGAGTTGGTTAGTTATTTGTAAAAAAATATATGTATTGATTTCCTTAAGATACCCTTGTTAATTGTGTGTAATTAATAGAGGTCGTTTTATGAAAAAATAATAAATGAGAGAGACAAAAGATATCTAGGTTTTACACTTAGAATGGAAGCAAACTTGTCAACTAGTTTCTGTAGTTGAAACTGAAGGGAGTTTTTTTTAATTTTTTATTTAGTAATATTATTAAAATTATCATTTGAGGTTCAAATTTTATGAAGGGATCGAGCATGTTGGAGGGGATATGTTTGAAAGCGTTCCAAAAGGGGATGCCATTATGTTGAAGGTTAGTGCGAAAGTTTGTCATCTCAGTTTCAACTTCATATTATATTAGATATGTGAATAAGGATATATTCTTGACTACGTTTATACAAAAATATATGTGAATAAGTATAACATAACACATTAATTAGTCAAATAAGATCTTCGCATGCCTCTATCACATGTATATATGCTTTTCTAATTATGGTCATCAGGTTAAGTTGGCTACAATTTCAAATCCACACCAAGCCTTTCAACGTCATGAATGTCATATTGTCAGACAATAACTATTATATTCATGTTTAGCATTATCGTATTAAAATATTGCGTCATAAAATGGCATTATATATTCTCAAGTATCTCATAGACTAAATTTAAAAAAAAAATCTTGCGAGATGATCGACATGACCAATCAGTTTTTCCATATATCATGAATCTTCTTTACGTTGTGGGTAATATATATGTTTTGTAGGCTGTGTGCCACAATTGGTCGGATGAAAATAGCATAAAAGTGTTGAGGAAATGCCATGAATCGTTGCCAGAAAAAGGGAAGGTCATAGTAGTGGAATACATAATGCCTGAAGAAATTGGAGCAACAGAGGAAGCTAAGTTCGTAGCAAGCTTGGACAACATCATGTTTCTTCATGGTGGAGGAGAACGAACTGAGAAAGAATTTCAATCTCTTTGCAAATGTTCTGGCTTTTCTGGTTTCAAAGTCGCTTCTTGTGCTTTCTCTGCTTTAGGAGTCATGGAATTCTACAAGTAATAATTACACACACACACACACACAAAGTGATCTTATATCATATTCTCTTGTTTCAAATGGCTGTTTAGAGGCGTCTCTTAGACTTGGCATAAATGAATAAGAATAAATTTACTTAAACCAAAGCAGCTAGGATGAGATGGGACATTAGTAAATGTCTAAAGTTTAACTCCTCTTAATGTAATAAAAAATGAGTATAAAATATTATGTTGCGTTTTAATAGATTTAATTTTTTTCATTATATAAGTAAATTATAGAAAGCTTTATTTTTTATCATTAGTTGACTAAAAAAAGGGAGAATGAAAATGAGGATCTCATAAGAAAATTATTGTCAAATCAAAAAATTTAGTACTGAAACATGAGAGAAGGAAAAAAAAACAGAAAAGGACATAAAAAAATACAGAAAATGACCAAAAAATTACAGATAAGGGTCCAAAAATTATAGAAAAGGACCCAAAAATTACTTATTATTTGTTTGACAAGTTGACAATTTTGCAATCCCTGCTTGACATGACAAAAGATAGATCATGGACCTATCATTGGAATGACAACAACACTGTTATTCTTACTTGTTAAATTTCTTACATTATTTGTTAATTTTGTAATATTATCTTACTTGTTAAATTTCTTACATTACTTGTTAATTCTGTAATATTATTTGTTAATTAACACACTTGTATGGCTCAATAATGACAATAGAGGGGAAATTTTAGGGAAGAATGTGAAATGAAAAATTATTTTTTAGTATTTACTCTTGCTGGTAAAATCCTCAATATGACCTTTTTTTTATAATCAAATTCTCAACATGACTTGTTAAATCTTTAACATCTTGCTAAATCCGTAGTTTTACTTATAAATTTATCAAGCCCTAATTAAAATTGTAACCTGTCAAATTGTCATGCAATTATTTACCAAAACGTGTTAAATAATTCACTAGTTTTCTTTTATGAATTTAACGAGTAATGTCATTGATTTAACTAATCATGTTAGTGGTGAAACAAGGGGTGTTAGGAATTTGATAATTAAAGTTTTTAACTATGAGTTTCCTTCTCACATTTCTCAGTACCTATAATTATTTAGCAAAACAGGTTAAATAATTGACAAGTAATATTATGATTTTAATATGTCATGTTAGTGAGAAACCAAGCCTAATAGATATTTAACAACTAAATTTAGGAATTTAACAAGCAATGCAAAGGATTTTTACAAGCAAGTTGAATGCTAAAATAATAAGTTTTTCATTTGAAGTTTCCTCTCCTAACATTTTTCAAGTCCTGTAATTACTTGCCAGCACAAGTTAAATAATTGACAAGTCATATTTCAAAATTTGCAAGTAATGTTTAGGATTTAACAATCAGGGATAACAAAAAATTGTCACCTATCATACCAATGCATGAATCATATTCTTCACGGTTTATCAAAAATCGGCCACTCATGATAATTGACCATTATTATTAATATTTTAACAAGTAAGATAACATAAATCACAACTTATCATTAATTTAAAAAAGAACATTTTTAGACTTCATAAAAAAGTTCATGCTAGTACTTGTAATAGTATGTGATCAAATAAAATTAAATATCCATTTAAATCAAAAAACAAATATGACATATTCACCAGGTTATTGCAACCCATTTTTTTAAAACACTACATGGGTTGTGTACATATGCACAAGAACTATTTATATATAGTATTGCCATCCACAATCTTCATAAATTTCTCCCTATATGAAATATTCAATATTATAGATATGCAACACCTTCATAGAGCCACCTATTATGCTATATTAATGCTGCATAACAATTTATATCAGAAATTAATAACATAACAAGCATTCTATAAGTTCATGAATTATTCTGCATTTTCACATATCAAAACTAGATATTTGAAAATTGACAAGCATTCTTAACTATTTGACAAGTGATTTACTAAAATAACAAGTCATTATTATAATTCCGCATCCTAGAAGTTAGAATCCTTAGGTACAAGTGGGAATGAATGTGCGTCAGTAATAACATTTAGTATGAAAAATATTCATGATCGAGCTGCTATCTATGCTTCTGTGATTACAAAAGGAAGAAATTGAAAATAGAATAGCCTTCCACTATCATGATTCAATTATCCTATGCAATCTTTAATAGTGATGAAAGTGAACGATCCGTTAATACGTGATGATGAACGTTCGATGATATATGCCCTAAAGTTGACAATAGCTTTGATTAACCCAAACGAAGGACCATATCTCACTAGAAAACTGGATTAGTTGCCTTCAACTTTTGCAAAATAGGCTCCAATTATGATTTGTACAAGTAGTAGGAAGTTGTGTCTGAGGCTGAGCATCTATGAATATAGCATTTAAATAGCAAGGGCAGTAATGTCATTTCACTGCAAAACTTAATTTCACTTCAGTCTCAAAATCCTACAATAATTTTTTAAAATTATTTAGGCTTGATTTGTAAATATTTCACACCTGTGGTCCTATAATGAAATTCTCCCATTTAAAATTCTACTTAGCATAGAAACATTAATTTCAAAATTCTATCTAGTTGATAACCTACAAATCAAAAATCCTTTCCTTTGTAACTAATATTTTCAAAACCAAACCAGATATTGAACCAGAAAGATCAACAATTCACGGTTCACATAGTTCAATTGGGTTAGACTAATAGTCAAACCAATGATGTAATAAATAAATTAAAAAATTATACATATATGTAATAATCTAGAAATAAGAAATAAATATGAAATTGCTACTTAACTTAAAAAAATAAAATATTTTAAGTTTATCATGACTTAATAAGTTATATAATACAACATAACATCAAATGATTAACAAAATTGGTCATTTCCTAAAAAAATTTAATAAAAAAAAAGTTTTTTTGAACAGTCCAGTTCTTTAAAATTGGATTTGATTCTCAGTTTGATTGTTGGTTTGAAATGGCTCAACCCGACTCAACCTCCAAAATAGTTTTCATATATTGACCGAACCAAAATTCAAACTAGTTGACGGTCAGACTGGTCTGACTATTCGGTCCAGTTCAGTTTTAAAATCACTGTTTGTAACCACAAGGAACATCAATTTCACAAACTAAATTCTTAACACTTTATGGATAATAATTTTTTTCCTAACTTAATTAAATCATTAACTTCAAGTTCACTTGATATGTGAAAAATTAAATGTGAATGAGAAAGCACTCGCTCGCATAATACAGTTCTTGCAAGCACATAATTTGTAAAACAACTCTTCACTTGGAAAAGGTATATTTTGAAAATGATAGTAAGACCTCATAAAATATTTATATTCATATTTCAAATTCATAATAAAGCCCATTACTTAACACAAGTTATCAAAATCATGGTATAGAAACCAAAGAGAAAAGTGAAAACTCTCACTTTAATTTTAGAAAAATATTAAATTCTTTATTCTTTGATCCGCAGGCATAATTATCAAATGCTTCTAGAAGGTTTCCTACAAATAAGATTGGAGGAAGTATTTAGGATAACAATAATGAAAAAAATCCAGGTCATAGGTTATAATTGATTTATGGGTTCCAACTAAGAGCTACAAACATGAAGGAACAATTATCTTAGCATGACCCCTCTTATTATTCATCATATTAGTCAATTTATGAGCAAAAATATTCAATATCAAGTTTAGTAAATGGGTTTTAGTGCAAAAATAGACACATCAATATCGGGTTCATTTATCAATATACGTACTGGTAAAGATATCAAATATAATTGTGGAAGGTAGGTTGATGGCTCCTAGGCCTACTAGCTAACTTAATCCTAGATTTAATCTCATGTTATCTTTCCTATTATTTTTTTATTACCTGTCATTACCTTTTTAGCAAGATACTAGGGATTAGATTTTACTCTTTTTGATATGCTATTATTATCATATATTTTGTACCTTATAAGTATTGTTTTTCATCTCCAAATAAAATCATTTGATTCATCTCAAACACAAACATGGTATCAAAGCCACCATCGACCTATGTCTTAATTCTTATTGCTCAAGCATTCTTCTCTAAGCAATAATTACTCCTTTTTTTCCTCTAGACACAAGGTGAGTCTGCATCTCTATTCTCAATCACAACTCGTGACTTCCTCTGCTTTAGTCGTGACCTATATTATTCTCTTCCTAGATACAAGATGCATCCTCTCTCCTTCTAGTTCTAACCATAAAGCATATATTCACCGCCATTAGAATGGATGGGCTTTTCCAGCTCACAACCCTTCCATTGCACCCATCTTCCTTGCAAACTGCAAGCTGCCACTCCTGTTTAGTAGGGTATGCCTTCTTCTTCCTTAGTCATGAAGACTTCCTTTAGTTGTAAGGTGTTACTATTCTCATACTTCTCTTTGTATTTTGTCATTATGGTTTATAAGGAAGCCTTGAGTGATACCTCATAGGTCTTTAATATGGATGGGGACCATACAAATAATCCCTTTAGTCAATATGACAATTACAGTGTTTCTTTCCCATATGGTGGCAACAATGGTGGTGATTTACTTTCTCATCTACTTCTTACTTATCGGTTGAATGGGAATAATTACTTGTATAGGTTTAGGAGTGCCTTTATGTTCATATATGACCACCAATTATGAAACTTAGTGTACAGAAAATAACATGATGATAACCTGGATGATTCATTTAATGAACCCTAAGACAAGTGAAAATTATCTACTTGCCAACTTAGCCTATTAGGAAATTGGGAGTCTTCTTGGTGTACTTACTTTGTTAAGGAAAATACAATAGTAATTTATCAAGCAAAGTGTATTCTTCTAACCCTTACGCAAAGGTAGAAATATCGACCACCTTGTATTACATGAATCTTATGCATCTGTGGCAACATATATACCAGTACGAGGTGTACCAATGGTCTTGTCATGCCAATGCCCTCTACTAGAAAAAGGTGGTCAAATGTGGTGGTGTTATGAATGAGTGGTGTTATGAATTTCTCCTTGGCCTCAGTGACTCCTATGAGGATCTTTGAGGAAGAATTATATATATGAAACCTTTACCTTCTCTTGAAAATGCATTTAATATGATCAAAGATGAAGAAAGTTGCAAGGCCCTGATATAGCTTCCTCCTCCTACTTCCTCTTACCTTCTTAACACAAAAACTTCTACTATGATGGCTTGTGGTCATTAAGGGGGATCACAAAGGGAAAAAGTCTCTCTTATGTGATTATTGTGATAAAAATGATCATACCTGAGAAACTTGCTGGCAGATTCATGGCAAGCCGTCTCATTTAAAGTCTAAAATGAAGGG